AATTTCTTTATTGAATTTTTAGTTCTAGCATTTATATTTGTTTTTAATTGAACCTTTGTCACTTTATTTTTTTTATTTTTTTATTTTTTGAGACAGAGCCTCAAGCTGTCCCCCTGAGTAGAGTGCCATGGCATCACAGCTCACAGCAACCTCCAACTCCTGGGCTCAAGCAAGTCTCTTGCCTCAGCCTCTCAAGTAGCTGGGACCACAGGTGCTATTTTTTTTTTCTTTTTGGATGCAGCCGTCATTGTTGTTTGGTGGTCCCGGGCTGGATTCAAACCCGCCACCTTAGATGTATGTGGCTGGCGCCTTAGCCACAGGCACTGAGCCACCTTTGCCACTTTATATAATTCCCTACCAAAAATTTCTGAGCTTAGCCTCTATAAAGGCTATCCTATTTTATAGGCTCTGTCAATAATTCCAATATTTATAGTTCTTGAAGTCTGTTTTTGTCATGTAAGTTCTGGTGTTCCAGGCTAGGGGCAGTGACTCATGCCTGTAATCATAGTACTCTGGTAGGCCAAGGCCAATGGATAGCCTGAGCTCAGGAGTTTGAGACCAGTCTGAGCAAGAGTGAGACCCCATCTCTACTAAAAATAGAAAAACTAGCCAAGCATTGTGGTGGGTGTCTTAGTCCCAGATATTTGGGAGCCTGAGGCAGGAAGATCGCTGTGGCCCAAGAGTTTGAGGTTGCTGTGAGCTATGAAACCACTGCACTCTATCCAGGGCAACAGAGTGAGATTCTATCTCTAAAAAAACAAAAACAGAAACAAAAAACAAAAAAATCCCTAACCCCCCCAAATTCTGCTATTCCCATTTTGGCAACTCATTTATATCTATGCAGATAATCCTTGTGTACTAAATATTTTATTAGGAAAATTGCTTGTAAAAATCATTTGAGACCTGGAAATAATGTTATCATTCTCCAAAGAAGATTTTTATTACTTTTGCTAGGTACATGGGTGGGAATAGTGGCAATCTAGGCAATTCAAATGAATCAAAGTCAGACTTCAGTGTAGGCAAGGATAGTTTACTTCTAATTTACTCTTATTTTCTTTGAAATCTCAACTCAAATGTAATGGTGGGAATGTTATTCATTAATGTCTCCACTTTTGGCAGACCTTCAACCCTGACTATTCCCAAAATTCCTAACAGGACACCAAAAGCTCATCCCAGTATCTCAGCCACCTTTTTCAGATTGGTAATCATCCCCAGGCAAAAATGGCCCCAAAAGGGCAGGCGCCTGTGGTTCAAAAGAGTAGGGCGCCGGCCCCATATGCTGGAGTTGGCAGGTTCAAACCCAGCCCCGGCCAAAAACTGCAAAAAAA